AATAGATATAATTAATGTTAGAAGTAAAAAGAATTTTAAGATCAGCATAAAGGTTAAAGAGAAAGATCATAAAACATGATTTTTATTTATCTTTCATGTTAGAGAATTTGAAAGCAAATCAATTATCAAATAAGCTTATAAGGTGATAATTTAATTTACTATATAAAGTTTGAAAAAATATCAAGAATGTGTACAATGTCATTATATTTTTAATATTTTGCTAATTACAGTAAAATAAGAGGTTATATATCAACTAATAATGAAATATATAATATTTTTAATATGAATAAGAAAGATTATATATATATTATTTTTAAGTTAACATTGATATTAAAGAGGAATAGTTCTAATATATAATGTAGTGATGAGATAATGATTGATTGCAATTTGTTGAACCAAATAGAAGCTTTTAGGATTATCAAATTAATTAAAAAAAATTTAAAATCTGATAAAGTAAAAAGGGTTATGTTGTTTAATATTATAATCTAATTAATAAATATAAATTATTTATCTTTTAATTTAATAATAAATTTGTGATAATCTAATTATCATATATATCATATAATAGGATATTCTCTCATAATATATAATTATTATCAATATTGCTATTAATAATAGTCAAATTGAATGATTTTAGTACTGAAAGTAAAGCAAATCACCAATCTTTGAATTTGAATATATTGTTATATGACTAATAAGAGTAAAATAATTAAACTAATTATTCATTTTATTATAGAAGATAAGATCAAATTAATGAAATTATGTCTAATAAACCTTTATTATTAATAAATTTGATAAAGTTTAAAAGCTTTACCAATATTTACATTAAGTATAAATATGTGAATTTATAAAATAGTAAAGAATGAATTATAGTTGCTAGTGTAGCTTTTGTTAAATGTAAATTTTATTTAAAAAGTTTCCTATATGATTTCATAATTTGATCATAAAATTTGAAGTTAAGAAATATCAATTGAGTACAATATAGAATATAAAGAAAAGGATAGAGTTAAAATACAACTTTTAATTATTTATTTATAAAAAATTTTCTTTTTATTATCAGTATAATAATAGATATTTTATTTTTCATTTGCTACTTAATAAAAGAACTATTTAGAAAAAAGGAGATCTAAATACTAAGATATTAGGTAAATGATTTTAGATCTATTGGTGTAATTATATTTAAAATGAAAATAAATAAAGTTGGTTATTAATATTAATATCAAAAGAACTGATTTATCTTAGTTAACAAGAATGCTATTTAATTGATAAAATTATCTGTTATTATTAAGATTAATTTAAATTTATATTTAGATTTATTATTTCAAAGTGTATCATCTATAAAAGTAAGGGTTAAAACTTACATAAATAGTGAATTAATTATAATATAATTAATATTAGGATATCATTTTGCTGATAAATTGTATTCTAAGAAAGTATTTTAAATTCAGTATAACATGAGATTATAATAAATATACTAAAATATAGGTAAAATAATTTTACCTTGATATATATCAGAAAAAATTGGGTAGTAATTAATATTATTATAAGCTATAAAGATCTGATTATAATAATTTGAGAATAGAAAAACTACAAATTGAAGAAAAGAATAAGGAAGTTTTAAATAATTAAGAGTATGAATTAATATTGCTACATTAACTCTATCATAAACCTTTAATATGTCTTGAAAAAAGATTTAGAATTGTTTATTTTTATGAGATAATCTATTATATTTAATATTGTCAAAAATATGAATGAGCTCAAAAGTGAAACAAAATAGTAAATCAGTAAAGTTGTGTTGGTCCAATTACCAACACTGATTATATAAGTACAATTCCTTATATATTCTATTAAAAATTATTTAGTAAGATTAGTATTTTCTTTATTGTAATTAATTTTTATTTATTTAATTACTTTTCTAATATAATAATTATAAATCATTGTTTCTTGTTATGACGTTATAATGATGTACCATCATGACGAAATAAATCGCGTCATAATTTATTAATTCTTTCTTGGGAGGCTTGAGGCGTAATCCGCCATTGCCACCATCCCATCTGTTTACAGCTAGCTCAGACAAAGAATGACTTAGTTCAAAAACTTACTCCGGAACCAAAAGAAAATATTTTCAATAATATTCGATTGCTGCGCCCCAACGCAATCGAAACCCAAAATAAAATAAAAATAAAGCTAGTTCAAAATGCAAAAAAATACAATGTAAAAAAAATTTAAAACTCACTGCCTTATTCAATTATAAGCCAAAAGTAGTAAGAGAAAAAAAGAACATTTAATTTTTTTAATATATAAGCATCAATGCATTTAAGCATAAAGCATGATGTTTAGAGTCGGAATTGTCTAAACTTTATTTGGCAATTAAACTAACCAAAATTGAATTTGCTGGTTAATTCAAAATCGAAAATAATAAGTTTTTTCCTTGACCAAAAATTCTTTTTTTTTTTCCACATTTTAAATTTTAAAAAAAAATTTATTATTAATGCCCGAAAATTCTGAGCCAGTTGCAGTACAAGAAGCTTTAACGAAAGAAACAGGCAATTTGCTGTTTCATCAAATTCGTCAGAAAGAAAGCAAAGATATATTTGCTGATTACATAATACTCATTAAAACAGTTTCTTTAAAGAATTTTACGCCAGCTGATAAGGAGGTTCATAAAAAAAAACTAGAGAAAACATGCAGAACAGTCTTGACAAGGTTGCAACAGGCTGGTCTTCGAGCTGAAATTCGCAGAGGTTCTGATAACTTTATTTTTGTGTTCGTTATTTGTGAATTACAGAGGTTAAATAGAGAGGTCGAAATATCAAGGTATGATTCTCATCAATTAATAAGTATTTTGCCAGTCACTTATGTTAAGTTTGTTAGGTTGGATTCTAATTTTTTATTATATCGATAAATTTAGGATTTACGACTGGTTTGCGGGTGTTCGGAAAAGAGACATTCAGGATGATGAGGAGGAAAGTAACGAACCTTTATCAGATTCTGAACGATTACGCCTAGTATACGAAATCATAACGAATCCTCCTCAAGAAGGAGGCGCTGGTATTAATCCTGGACTTGGTGATTTTGATTTTGTCGAAAGTATATTACCTCTTCATGATGACGAATATAATGAGGTTTGTCTCGTTTTATCAATTATTAAAATTTATTCATGTCGTATATTTAAAATTTTTTTTTTTGACGCTTTTATTTATCATCATCTTTTGTCGCATCTCAATAGGACTGGATAAAGACTTGGTCAACTAAATGGATAATCGATAAAGAAGACCTACTCAGATTGAGAAATCATTTTGGAGAAAAGGTATACAATCACATTATTATATAAATTTTATTAACTCTTGGTCATTAATAGAATTTTTTCTTCATTTTTTTTTTTAGATCGCATATTATTTCGCTTTTCTTCAATATTATTGTGTTTGGCTTATCGCGCCATCAGTTGTCGGAATATTAACTTGGTTATTTTTATCCGAATATTCCATCTTCTTTGGAGTCTTTATCGTTCTGTGGTCCGTAATATTCACAGAGTTTTGGCGACGAAAAGAGTATGAATTTGCTATTTTATGGGGAGTTCATAATTACTCTCAGGTTGAACGTCGTCGTCCAACTTTCCAGGAAGAACGTTACGTTTCGGATCCCGTAACCGGCGAAATGAAACCATATTTTTCTCCATGGAAAAGATGGTTACGAAGAGCTGTCGCGGCTCCTATAATTATCATGTTCAGTTTGACATTAGCGATGGCATTACTTTTCTATTATTTATTTGAAGTTTTAATGTCCGAGTATTATGATGGACCATTCAGAGAACAGTTGGTATGTATCGTCCAATTTAAAATGACTTTGTTGCTATCATAACCAATGCACTTTATAAATTATACGAACTTTTATTAATTATAGATATATCTACCGACTGTAGCGTATTGTGCTCTAGTTCCTACTCTTAACATGTTTTACGCAAAGATTGCGCGACGTCTCAACGAATATGAGAATTATGAGACAGAGTCCTATTATGAATTTAACCTCACTCAAAAGATCTTCATATCAAATTTCCTCATAGGCTATCTATCAATATTCTTTATTGGCTGGATTTATATTCCCTTCAATGATGAAATTGGGCAATACTTTCAGAGTTTCTTTGAAATCTTTGGATTAACACTTAAAATTAAGCATGTTGGACCAGAAAGATTAATGAATGAATTGAAATATTTTGTTTTGACCGCCCAAATTATGAGTCTTCTTATGGAAATTGGATTACCATATTTACTACGAGCCGGAGCGGTTGGGGTTAAGAAAATTCAACGAAATACCACCAAAGATGGCGCAAGGAATGAAGATGAATCTGCATTTTTGAAGAGAGTTAGAAAAGAAGCGAAATTGCCCGTGTATGATATATATGAGGACTATTCTGAAATGATCACTCAGGTATTTAATTTATATCCATTTTGAATAGCTTTATATGCATATATAATTTATTAATTATTTTTAAAATTTTTTACAGTTTGGTTATGTAAGTTTATTTTCAGTCATATGGCCGTTAACACCTGTAGCGGCACTTATCAATAATTGGGTAGAATTACGTTCTGATGCCATTAAATTATGTGTACATACTCGACGACCAATTCCATGTCGTGCTGATAGCATTGGTCCATGGTTGGAAAACTTGGTAATTTGTTTTAGTACTTATTCTATTTTAAAAATTCTATCGGTTGTATTAAATTATTATTAACATTTCCCCAGTCGTTACTCATCTGGCTATCAGCGATAACAAATCCATCTTTGCTTTATTTATATCATCCAACCTCAAACGCGTTCTCTTCTGCTTCATTAATTGTCATAATGGCACTTATATTTTGTGCTGAGCATCTTCTCAGTCTTATTCATTATCTTGTAAAACAAATGATGTTAGCAATCCCAAGTCCAGCAGATGACTATATTAAAAAACAAGAATATGAGGCTAAGAAATGGTTACTGGAAAAAAAAGCAGGAAAATCTCCAGTTAGATCTAGATCACAAAGTATTGATACTCTCAACATGCAGGGAACTGTAGATTATTCCTCAGAACTTGAAGTATCTCTTCGCTATGCTATTCATGACTATAAGTCCGAATGAGGGCATATTAAGAGAGAGAGATATCACTTGAAAATATTCAGTATCTCCACAAATTTATAAGTGAACTTTAATAGCCTAATTTATATAAAAAGTTTTATTTATCTAGGACTTCAAAATTTCCAAATGGTGCATCATAACTTCTATAATTATTCAAAACATAAAACCGATTTTATAAATTTCAGAGAGTAGATTATCAATCGTCGTTCGCGTTGACCACAATTGTCTGAAACAAAATACATTTTTTTCTTTCAAATTTGTAACAATGTCCAACAGCAACTATAAAAGTACAATAAAAAGTTAAAAATTTATTTAAGCAAAAAAAAAAGGTAATAATGTAATAAAAAAGAAGTGGTCTAAACTAAGTTGATAAGCCTATTGACCTAAAAAGTTGTTTTCCTTTAAAACTTCGTTTCCACATGATATTCAAAGTTTACCAATGAATTGCATCACTTCGACAGTGGAGAATGATGTGAAAAATTATATAAAATTTTGGCGTGAAAATTGCATTTTTTGTTAAATATCTAATCCTGCGTATAGATATTCCTTGAAATCATTAATTGGATCGTGTAAATTCAAAGATTCCAAGGATTTACCAATCTTTTGCTTAATGTTTTATCTCGATATTCTGCTACGATGTATTCAAACACTAAAAATAAATAGTCGTTTATTCCATTTGAATGAAACAGTCAACAGTATAATGGAAAACAGAATGCATAGACTGGGTATTCTTAAGGATAGGTCGGCAGACTCCTTCAACCGAGCGAAAGGACGGTATGGCCTAACGAAAGTAGGGATATGCGTGACCGTGAAAGTGAAAATTACCAGCGAAGAATAGAAAGTATGAATGCAAAATCATGTATCACCTGCACGTATGCCGATATGTTAAATAAACGCCTATCGTCATTCGTGATATTAGACGCGATCAGGTCAGATATACAGTATAAAGGCGATTTTAAGAAACAAACGTCTCATTTTTAAGTTATTCGCATATACGATGTCGGATCATGGAATTCAAGAACCATTTTTTTATCTGTATCTAGTTGTAATGTAAAAAGAAGTTTCTTAAAACGATTAAATATGATGGTGATTAATTTTTTTTTTTAATAATAAAATTAATGAAAATTTATTTTTTGAAATGAGCAGAATAATAATAAATTAATTTTCGCATGGAATTAACAGTAGTAATTTAAACATTTTTAAGAATGGAAGTTTGATGTGAAAAAGGTAGTAAATAGAAATGATAATTATATGATGCCAAATCCATCTAGTCTACAGTTTGTGTAAATTTTGAAATTTAACTCCGATAAAATGATTGAAATATTAAAGTTTTAAAATGTGTAAAACCAAATGTTTTATTAGTAAATCTCAAAAAATTTCGGAAAAACCGAAATGATAAATTTCACAAGAATTTATAATGTAATTGATATTCATACATAAATAATAAATCGCAATAACCGGAGATATTGAAAATCTTCATTTTCCCACACATTTTTTTCATTAAATCAAAAATGCCACCTGTCAAGAAACAACGAAAACTTTACAAGCAGCAGTCAAGAATATCAAATGGAAGATTTGGACCAAAAAAAAAAAAATAAACCATCCAACACAATATGAATTAATAAACGATAGTGAAGAGACCGATGATGTCACTTTTGGATTAGAAAATGCGGAAGATTGGGGACAGTGGATGGGAGGATAAAATTGATCAAAATTTATGATAATTGGATTAGGTAAGAAAGCAATTATTTTTATAATAATTTTTTTATGAGGTGAGAAAGCAATTATTTTAACAATAATTTTTTATTTATTTATTTATTTATATGTGTTTTAGAATGAGATGTAATTAACGAATTTGAAAAAAAGAAACGAGGTCCATATAGCGTCAGTAAGACACCAAAATCAACATATTATGATAAGTGGGATCCAAGTGGCAAAGACCACAAGTTTTTTTTCCAATACGCAAATACCAACGCTATTGTAAATTTGGATCATAATATTGAAAATGAAAGTAAAATACTTGAGATTTTAGCTCCGGACACATAACAGTTCCCTGTTAACCTAGTTTAACAAATACTCGGAAACAGGGATCGTTGTAAGTCCTGAGAGAATTATTGGATAAAAATCATGTGGTGGATAGAGAAATACTCTCATAACCAAAATTTACTCAATACATAGAAATAAAGCAAAATACAAGTTAATAAAAAAATTATCTATTATTTTTACTAAACCTTTACTTTTTACTTTTTTACTTTTATTTTATTTACAAAATCTAATGAAATTCTATAGCTTAGCATTATATAATGATAGTTGTGAGATTCAAAGAGGATTCCAAGAAATAATATTTTTTTAAAATGAATTGTTAACGTATGTAAATCGTTTCCTTATATGGGTAGGTAACTTCTGAAAAACGGGACATTTGCTGACAAATTTACTGCGTCACTTACAACTGATATCCAATTCACGTGAAAAGACGATCGTTCAGCAACCAATCACCTGATCTGTTATGATGCAATGATCTATGTACCATTATGATCATTTCGTATCGGATGTTTTTCATTATTACCCTTCAATTATCAAATTATCAAATTCATATTTAATTATTTAATTAAAAGATATGAAAATTTCCGTTACTTTAAGACGCCTGATAAGCGTTTACATTTAATATTTAAAAATTTTGTCAAAAATTTATATATATATATTATTATAAAATGGAAAACTTCGAAGACGAAATGATTGAACACTCTAACTATGACAACAACGAAGTAATTGAGCAGAAATTTACCGAAACCATAGAACCTTTGTCACCTGTTACAGAACAGGCTGAGGGGGTTAGTTACAACAATGATTCAGGGACTAACCCAAATCGACGTGCTTCTATTGCAGTATCACGTTTTAATAGTATGATAGACCCTAATACTTTAGGCTCGTGGATGAGTAATGGCATTGGATATGGTAGTCAGGCGGTTAAGACTAAAAGACGCGCTACTATGATAGATCATAATAGTGTAAAAAGTGGTTTTGTTTCATTACGTGCCCCTGATGGTGTAGACTTATCAATGTTTAATGAAGAAGTTAGTGATGCTGATTTACCTCAGGAATTCGAAAATTTTCTGGTATGTGATATATTTTATTATGAAAATTAAAATTAATTAATTATATTTTTTGAATGATTTTTATTTAAATTTAAATTGAACTTTTAGAATGAAATGAACATACAAGAACCTGCACGAAAAAAAATGTTACAGCTTTCTATCGATCAAAAACGAACAATTATACTTACACATAAACAAGCTCAAGAAATTAAACCGCAAACGCAACCGCAACATCAAAGCGAAACCCAAGAACAGCAGCAGCAACATACGCGACCTGATTCTCAGACATATCAACAAAAGAACTTTTTAAATGTTGCACAAGATTACGATACTATGTCTGATATGTCTGGTAAAATACAAATACGTGATTTTGATGTAGCTTCCGCTACAAGTACCGCTAGTGAAAATGATTACGCAGAACAAAAGCCAAATAATCGGCTTTCATTGTCTTATTGGCTTTATAATACAGAGCAAAATCGCTCTTCGTCACCACCATTAACAAATATACCCGAACAGACAAGGCCGGTTGTTCAATCGACTTCTCAAAATCGCTCAAGTGGATTATTTGGTTCTTTATTATATTTATATCCTTCGGCTGGAAATTCAACAAAATTACAGGATACACCTGAATTCTATATCGAAAAATTAACACAAAAGTGAGTTAAAATTTTCATTTGGGGAGTTTTAAATATTTTCAATGAATTTGGTTTGAACGTTGGAATTTTTCAATTTTAAAGGAATGCTGCACCTAAGTTGTTAGCAGATACTTTATTATCTTTACGAATAACCTTGTCTTCGGCAAAGTTATCTTGGTTAAGAGAGTTTTTAGAAAATAAGGGATTATTGGTGCTGGATTCTATCCTTGAGAGACATACTATTCGGGATAAGAAGAGGTTAGCAAAAATTTATAAGTTCGTTATTCTATTCCGGTTATAACTTCTAATTAAATTCTTTAAATTAGTACAGCTAGAAATTCTGACCAAGACGATCGAATACAGTCACAATGTATTCGATGTTTAAGAACATTGATGAATACTGAGGCAAGCTTACATCATTCTCTTATATCGTAAATATCTTATTCCTCATATATAAATTGATCATATTTTCTATTTAGATTGGTTTTCGACAAGTTTTGAAATATTCGTCACTGGTTGCTAGCATTGTTTTTTGTCTTCACACTACTAATAACAAATTACGTTCTCAAGTGGCTGATGTATTGGCAGCGTTATGTGTGCTCTCCTTGGATGGACATAAATTAGTTGTTGGATCTTTCACGGAATTTCGTGTAATTCATGAGGAAAAATTTCGGTTTCAATATTTAGTTGAAAGCTTGAGAAGAAATGAGGAAGAAGATAGTACTTCTATTGAATATAAAGCTGCTGGACTAAGTTTAATTAACGCGATCGTGAATTCTCCTGATATTATCGAGGAGCGCATTCTTTTAAGAGAGGAATTTGAAAGGAGAGGAATTGATGATGTTTTTAAGGTAAATTTATTCTCCAAGTATTCAAATAGGAATGCGTCGATTTTTTAAAGAAATAATATTCTTAGGTTACTTATTATATAAATACATGTTAGGTTATCAAAGATTCTGACCCTCCTGAATCTGTATTAAAGCAAATTGAGGTTTATCAAGAGGAGCGCCAAGAAGATTTAGATGAACTTTATGAGAAAGCCCATGAAATTGTAAGAGATAATAAGTAAGTTATGTTCGAGGGGAATATATAAATTATTTCTTTAAACTGTAGATAAATTTTTAAATTAAATTTTATAGGAACCCACTTTCAATAGTTGCTGGATTACTTCAACAATTGGAAAGTGACAGAAATTTACATCGTCGTGTTATTGAGACACTTAAAAATTTATTAAGGATTTCATGTAAAAGCACTGGAGAGTTCGTATAGATTTCATACATGTAAATTTCTTGTTACTATATAAATCATTAAAATTTTATAATTTATAGGAGGTATCAAAACGAGATATGGACTTTGCTTGAGCAATTTATAGAGCAAATCATTTCTTTAAATAATCTAGGGCAAGGTAATTTAATTATAATTTATTTTTGTTCAATTTATTATTTTTTTTTTTTATTTCAAAAATATTAATTAGAATTATGAAAATTTTTAGAATGGCCAAAGTTTATGAATGAATATCACTCATCCATACAGCATATTGTC